TCCTAGGACATCCACCTACCTTCAGTATGTTTTGTTATAATGTGGTTCACATCAATTCGGTAAAGCTTTTAGGGTGATATTCAACTTTTTAAGTACAACATGAGTAAAACATGAACCAGTCATTCAAAGCAAATGGGGGTATACACTATAAAAACAAGGACAATACTTCAGCTGAAACGATAATGTCTGATGTCTGTATTCTACAAGAAAACATAATCAGACTTTTATGACTGGTGGTTTATGAAAGGAATTATCTTTAGAATTGACCTGATTTGCCAGTAGGTAAGTGTTAGAAAACATTTAATGTCCCAACCTTTCCCTTTCCAGGAGCCCCTAGAGTTCACTAAAACAACTACAGATTTCACATTTCCAAGTTTACTGCCAACAACAAAGGATTTCCACTGCTGCCCTGGGAAACTAAATCATTATTTCTGCATTAGTGATATGAGCACATGAACAATTTTCTAAACGCTTGTGGTTTTGGAAAAGCCTCATTCATTCATTTTTTTCTGCTTCTCTAAAAGGTCTGTACCCCTGTTAAGATTATAGTTTTTTTTGTCTTCAATGTAAAACTGACACAGAAGGATCAAGCAGTATAGGCACACTAAATGTTGTGGTCTGGAAGAAGTAAAGCAGAGAGCATTTTCTCTTCCTTTTCTCCTCAGGAGCAAGAAAATTTGAAACTAGTGATCTTGCTTCATCCTTGAGGTGAAAAAAGTCCAAATCACCGGGTCACCACACAATTTGGAACAATTTGTATCCTCTGCACGCAGACTTGAGGTTAGATATATTGGTTTGGAAGGGTAAATAGAAGTCAGCTACTCCCTAACCCTCAGCGTGAGGACTCACAGCTCAGCCCAGCTGAAATGGGCTGGTTTTAGGTAGGCAGCACACACAACTGGTTTTTATATACAGAGGATCTTGCACTGAAGAAGTAAGGAACAATAGGAAGTGGCATTGATGGTCATGTGTGGAAGGGTCCATCTATAATACTGTGTTGTTAAAAATAAGTCCTGGCGGTATGAGACTTACATTTTTTATAAATCTGCCTAGATAGTGACAAGGACTGTGTTCGAGTAATCTAAAGGATAACACAACAAAACTCGGGACTATCTATTTATGGTGTTCTATTAAAAACACCATCACGAGTCAGGACTGGACAAATCTCTGGTCATTAACAGTAAAAAGAGCCATCAGCGAGCCACAAATTTGCCCATAAACAGCAAAGCTCACAGTGCCCTGAAGTCTGTTCAGTTTCAAAAGCAAGGCTGCCCCTGTAGAATATCACACTGTATCCTCACCTTTTATCTTTAGCTGTAAAAGTGAAAATGATCAGCTTTTTTAACCATGAAGTTCCAAGTCTTTTTGTTCTGAAGAATATTAAAATAACTGATACATGTAATTGAACGCTGCACAAAACTCCAAAATAATTTAATGGTTCTGAGTATGCAAATGATGGGTTACTTTTCACCTTTGTTGTGGCAAATGCTTCTGCCAGGGAAGTATCAAAAATCAACTCTTCAGCCCTGTGGCTGTCACGCTCCCACATGGGGAACCCAGGCATTTCTGATTTCACTGCCTGAACTCTAGGCATCCCAACACAGTGGCATACAATCAGAAACTCCTACCAACTCAAGGCACCCGGTGAGTTTTTATTATGAGTTGATGTTAAACAACTACACTGCCTATTTTTAGGGGCAAATTGGGCTTTGCATCAAGTCGTGCAACAAAAATAACTCCATAAATTTTTACTAGGAAAGTTTAATACCTAAGGGGCGCTTGTGTGGTCTTAGTTTCATAAAAGGCCTCATTTTCCACTCGAACACTGGAAATTATTTCTATGGCAACAGCTTTGAAGCTCTCAGCACTCGCTGAAGGCCAGTCCTCTCCCTAGTCATGCCCAGAAAGCCCCTAGAGGACCTCCCCAGCTGGCTACTTTTGCCTATGGATTGTGAAGCCAGACTGAATAACTCCACCTTCAAATCATTGAGGTTGTATGCTATATTAACTGCCATACCATTGAATAGTCATATGCTTCAACTGTACATTTTTGCTAGGCAGAAACGTTTTCCTGGTCAGCAATTCTTTACTTCTTGTTAAAAAAAAAAGGCATGTGTTCTTCTCATAGCTCGACGATTAGTAAAATGATATGTCATACTAAATTCTTTACCCACAGTCTTACATAGTTGCAAAAAGTCATATAAGGCAACTGTATGACAAAGAATTAAATTTAAGACACATGAGTACTAATGATCACTAAGTGCACTGATTTAAGTAAGATGACCACAAAATTCACTGAGCGTGCCTTCTTTTTATCTTCTTATGGTACAACTCTGCTCAGAATAATTGACTCATGTCAAGGTGTCGATACCTACTGCTTTTGGCTTTACTTTTTCTCTAATCGCCGTTCCAGGTGTAGGAGTTGTAAATGTGGAAGAGTTGTAAGAGTTATAAATATAGGGAACTATATGCAATCAGTAATGAGAAAGAAATTGTAGACATCACTGGTATGTCAGAATGTACCAAACCAGAGCTATGTAACATTGGTATTGTTAAAAGACTACAGAAGAAACACATCAGAAAAAGACTAAGAAGGATTAAAACAGGCCTTAATAGAAACAAAACAGGATAAGAGTTTTGAAATCAGCAGAAGACTGATGGCAACAGATAATCTCTTTGAAGCACATAACAGATTAATCCCAAGACTAAATGAATCAAGGGCCCTAATGGCTTATTAAATCAATTAAGAAGAATAAAACATTAATGATGAAAAAAACAGCATATAGTTAAAGAAACTGAGTAAAACAAATTGGAAGTGCAGTGTTACATACAGGTAGGAGAAACGAAACTAAATACAAGAAGGAGCTCGAACAAGTTTCGCTATGTCGCTTGTTGACATAGCACTTATTACTTGTATGTAAACATTTTAAAAATTAGCTTATAGTCCTTGTCTTTAAAACATCAAATTAAATCAAGATGAGCCAGTTACTATTCTTCCAATACATTACAAATATTGCACAAATATTAGAATATGTATAGTTATTAGTGACAGTTTACTGTTTTTATTGACTTCAAAGGAACAGGTAAAGGTTTATTCCATGCTGAACAGAGAAGAGAGACAGTGTTTTTGGCTGTGGAGCCTTTTTCAGGTGTTCATTCTCGACTCCATGCTTTTACTAGTAAAAAACTTTTTCCAGCAGCCATGTCATCCTGCAATTCACAACTGGCTGCCACTGAAGCTCAGCAGGTGAGCCTGGTTAGTACCTGGATGGGAGACCTCCTGGGAAAAACTAAGGTTTCTGCTGGAAGTGGTGTTAGTGGGGCCAGCAGAGGACGCTCACCCTGCGGCCTGTGTGGGTCCTTATGCCCCAATATAGTGACGGGGACACTATACTGTAAAAAGGCGCCGTCCTTTGGATGAGACGCAAAACTGAGGTCCTGACTCTCTGTGGTCATTAAAAATCCCAGGACATTTCTCGAAAAGAGTAGTGGTGTTACCCTGGTGTCCTGGTCAAATTTCCCATTGGCCCTTACCAATCATGGCCTCCTAATAATCCCCATCTATGAACTGTCTTCATCACTCTGTTCTCCTCCCCACTTATAACTGAAGTGTGGTGAGCGTTCTGGCGCACTATGGCTGCCGTTGCATCATCCAGGTGGGGCTGCACACTGGTGGTGGTGGAGGGGAGTCCCCATTACCTGTAAAGCGCTTTGAGTGGAGTGTCCAGAAAAGCACGATATAAGTGTAAGCGATTATTATTACTACTCTAGTGTTTCTCAGCCCTATAAAAAAAAGTGGAGAGTCAAAGAAGTAACACTGAATTCCTGAAAGGACAGCAAAGAGACAGTTCATCTATCTTGAACTCTGGGTACAAAGCAACACACTCTGTTCACTTCTGTTCACATGGAATCAAAAAGCTTGCCTCCAAGGTACATTTACTGCAATCTTCTTTTCATAGCAGCAAGTACATGGAATCACAGTTAATTTCAAAGAAGAAGTGGATGAAAGTAATTCTAAAACATTACAGCAAACAATTTTGTATAGCTCCAGGCCAACTGTTTATAATAAGCTTAGTTTACCGAGTGGTGGCAGTCCAGCATGGTAATGAGCACTTTAAATGAAAAACCTAAGAAAAGACAGCGAACCCACTCACAACATCTCTCTCTCACCAGAAGCTACTCTTGTCAGGGAGGGGACAGCTGTAAAAACAATAATTCGGCACAGAATGCACCATCCTTAAACATTCGCAAAAAGTCAGGATTTGCCTTTATGAACTCTAAATATGAGGAACTGCAAGCACCACTCCAAAGAAATGCAGAAACAATATTTTAAATTAGAACTCCTTCCACATTTTAAATTTTCTTTTGACAAATTTTACATACAAACCTGTTTTTTTATTCGTAAAATCATAGGACAAACCTGGTTTAACTTCTGAAGGGACTGTTGTGACTATCAAATACCTTTAAAATAACAAGTGACATGACTTTACCTAAGCTTCCTGTTTTTAGTCACTGCTTCAAAGAGTATCAATAAGCCTTGAGGGTCATATCTCACTTAGTTCCTTCTGCTAGTGGTATTTGTGTGAAGCAAGAAAAAAGTACCACCTAGAGTTACTCAGAGAGATGAAAAGCTTCAGAAGACCATGGGAATAGACAGATATTACCTTCACACACTTGGTTAAGAGACTTTGACTAAGATTTTAAAGTTCAAATACCAGGGAATTCATAATAGTCCGTGTCTAACTGAGAGCTCAGCCGTGACCAAGCTTTTCTCTAGATTGAACTCTGGTCCAATAGTGAAAATATCTTTTGCAGTAACATGTCACAATGAAAGTCAAATTAATGTTTTAGACATGCCTAGTTTTAGTTGATGAATTCGAATGCCTGTCATAGGTGAATTTTCTAAAACACTCCTAATTAAGCAAATCTAAATTCTACATAAAACAGGTGCAATTTGGCTCCTTATTTAATGGAGTAACCTTTTATGATTTGGTACTTACTTGTTACTGTCCCTGTACTGATATACATAACAGCCTTGAGGCATCCCACTCTCTCGATCCAAAGTGAAGGACAGTTTCAACTGTAAAAGAGATGACAGAGATCTCAGTGTTAATGACAACATAAGAATATAAGAGGTTACAAATGAGAGGATGCTGGACGATCTATCCCATTTGGTAGTTATTAATGTAATGATAACATCACTTTATTAGCCCTATACAATTTCTTGAATTAGGAATTCGACTTTTCGCATACCCCATCTTGCTCTCCATGAGACACAGACACACAGACAGGGAGAGAAGTTTGAGGTCAGAGCACGGCAGCCATTGTACAGCGCCCCTGGAGCAGTTGGGGTTAAGGGCCTTGCTCAGGGGCCCAACAGAGTAGGATTCCTTTGCTGGGTACGGGATTTGAACCGGCAACCTTCCAGTCACAGGCCCAGATCTTTAGCCACAGAGCCACTTATTAGTTAAGTGATCTAAGGATGTTAACAAGCTATTTCATGAAAGAGCCCAGGGGATTAGCTTCAACAACATTACTGAGTAAACTGACCACACTCCCACAACTCTATGAGGAAAGTAAAAGAATAATGACAACACAATGAATGATAGACCACCTGGTCCGTCAGTTTACAAATCAATCTAAATAAAAAAGATGACGGATTGTCCAGTTTATGTTAAGAAATATAACAGCCTTCTGCTGCCTTACAGACATCTCAAATGGTTATTTTATGTGGAGCTGATAGTGATGCAGCCCCCATCACTATCAAGTTATTGCATAAAAAACACTGCAGGTAAAATTAAATGTCAGTCTTCATAAAACAACGTTCCAGGAAGTGGATTGCAAAATTACTCCCCCCCGCCTAGAGATTACTTAAGACATGACAAAAAGATGTGCTCCAAATGCTCCAAGGTGAAAGCTCTTGGCACAGTACACTGTACAATAAGCTTACGATGTGCTAATTCCAAAACATATTGATATAGCTCTTTGTATTTGGGAGACAGAGTGTAAAAAGTGACGCACTGAGCTTACTGGATAGCTCTACTCAGTCCCACATTCTACCCCATGGCTGTCGGGGCAATTCTAATCCACCTTAGACAACTCTTTGCTAGGAATTATATAAACAACCTCATATAAGCTACATAATGGTGCTTGAACAGCTAAATTAGTAAGTATGGAGAGATGTTGCATTCAATCTGTATAATATACTGTACATCTGTAGACTATATAGCAATACATATATCTGTAGACTGTATAAGACAACACATCACTGGGAGAATGTACAGTTGGTTAAAGGGTATATACAGTTTTAAAAAAACAAACCATGGTTAAATATTTTGCTACCAGTATCGTAAAATAATCCTGTCCAGCAGAATGCTACAGCATGTCAACGGTATTAAAGAAATCAGAAATGGCAAAGGGAAATAAATTGTATTTTTATATGTGACATTAGTAAGGTGGAAAAGTGGGGGAACAAGGTAATATGTTATGATCCAGGACAGTAGAATCGAAAAGACACTTTCATACTAAGTTAGGCTTGAAAGGAAAGACAAGAGACCACTTGATTTTTAAGGTTATTAAATGCCTACCTCTCAGGTTTCTTCCAGGCATTGTGTCACACAGTAACATGTCACCTATTTATTTTGCAGTAGCTCTTAGGTTCTTAAATCCACATAAATGTTGAAGAAATCAAGCATAAAGTTAAAAGGACTCTTCCTGTGTGATGCGTGTGAAGCACAAACAGGTATATTAGTTCAGGCCTGAGTAAGCATTCTCAAGGAAATGAGCTGATGATCATGCTATTATTCACAAAGAGATATCACTATACACAACAATAATCAGGAACCATCGCCAAAACCTTCTGTTTTTTCCATGTTTCTTCACAAAGCTATTCTATTGATTTAACAGTAAAAGGTGGTACGAAACAGGTTTTTCCTAATGATACGCCAGGGAAAACAACCATTAACAGCTGTTAGAATGAAATTCATACAAGCATTTCTTTTACAAAGAAAATTAAAAAAAATTAAGGATATAAGTATAAACTGGAAGTGTCTAGTGTTTACGTTATTGTGTTTCTGGGAAACATGAGATTATGAATACGCAAATAATTTCAAGGTAAGAGGAGATTTGAATTATTTCCTTTTGGGAGAAGAAATGAGCCCTTCTCATGTTAAAACATGTCACTGAATAACACCTTTTATTTTATCACAATACACAACAATCACACAAACAGTACATCTGGCTTAATTACAGCCAGTACTATGTGAGCACCAATTAATGTCTTTCACTACAGGGGAAATGCATTTACTGATGTAACATTTTTTTCCTCTCACTTACCTCTTGGAAGCACTTTAAAATCAACTACTGTATATTTCACTTTCTCTCTATAAAGTCTGGATTAAAACAACGTTGTAAGAGGAAAATAACATTTTTTATACATGTTGGGTGTTATTACCAACAGGAAATAATTCCATACCTGTCAAATGTTGTAAGGTCGTTATCGTTATTGTTTGAAGAAAAACAAAAAAAAGCAGGCTAACACTGCATGAACTTTTTGTGCAAACACTCACAAGCACATGAGGGAATCTGCAATTAAGGTGAAACTGGAATCAAAAATGTCCACATAACTCTCAAGGCAAAGTTCAAGTGTGGAAGAATGAGTTTTATTTGGACTGAGCAAAAAACCAATAGAAACAAACATGAAAGTAATTGCAGTTGTGCTTGGCTTTAGTAGCAGGAATCAATTTGGGTTAAGCCTGAGATATCTAGTGCTTCCAGGAAGTTAGACAAACTTCCTTATTCAAAGTGAATGCACACAACTCCAGAAACAACTATCCACTGAAAGGGCAACTTCTGAATTCTGAAACTGGTCAGAAAGTATCATGGTGATTTACTGTACATGAGATATCCTAAATTACTCCAAAAATGATTTTTTCCCCAAATGGCACACAACTACCAGACTTGAGAACACTGCAAAATGGAGATGTGCACTTAATGTTTCTTGAGAATGGCAGCTGGCAAAGAATTGGGAGAAAAAAAGGCACTAAAAAGTCAAGGAAAGACTGGGTTCTCTCTGTGAGGAGTGTACCTTTGCCCCCTTTATTAACCACAATGCAATGATAAAAAAGTAAATAAAAAGTAGAACAAAAAAACACCTTCTGGCAAATATCAAGCGGAAAGCAGAAATTGCATTTTTATGATTTTAACATCTCATTCCCCGGCTCCTGTGAAGCAAAAGACAGATGGGATTGACATGAAGCCACTTAGCATTAGGAGATCCACTTGCCGAGACTCTTTTCCGAAGTTGAAACCTTGTGGAATGCAGCTCAGTGAAGGGTGTTGAGCGGAGTGATTAAATTAGCTGTTACATGAATACATCGCAATGCACTACATCACTCAGCCAAGGAACAAAACAAGTGCCAGCACTAAAAGCTAAAGATGGAGAGGGTGACCCCTGATATGATTAGCCATGAACATTCACAGCACGATCCAAAAAGCCACCACTCCATTATTTCCAGCACACAGTTGTCTGTGGTTTTAAAGAGTTACTGGGAACCCATCGACCAGAGAGACGCAACCAATAAAACTGGGTGCCAAAAACCATTGAAAACAAGACAAAAATGGCTATTCAAAGCTGCTCTTAACTTAGTGAAAGTGGCATTGTTTGTGCCTTTTTCGGGGGACCAGCAGGGGAGGACTCCTGAAGAACTCAGTCTGACGTCTAGGTCAGATCACGTGCCACTTGAAGTGACTGAGGAACCCAGAGCCAAATCAAAAAGAGCAGAGGTTCTCTGGAGCTGTGTGCCTTTCTTTGAAGTAATAGAAAGCAGCCTCATCGATCATTAATTTAAAAGTTTCTTCTTTCTTCCCCCCGATTTAAAAGGACTAGACATTCTGGCTTTATTTGCTGTCCCACTGAAACTGTTAAAGCCTCCCCTCCAAACAAAACAAAACAATCTGAAATCAGACAGTCTGCCGGCCTGAACTCAGAAAACTTTTTTTTTTCTTTTCTGGGGGCTAAAAAGTAAATCAGAAGGTTTTAGAATACTTAAGTCTTGTTAATTGGTGCAAAGCTTTAAAACCATACTGTGTGTAGAAAGTTCTGGGATAGCCACTATCAGAAATTTTTGTTTACTCTTGTTTTATATAAATATAATATCACATTCTTCAAAAAACAACATCTATTCACTCCACCATAAAGTATTTATTGTAGTGTTAAACTTTGAAAAAAACAGTGAAGTGCATTCTTCAAAAGGGAATGCTTAACATGCCCAAGGAGACTCATAAACCTGTATCCTGAAAGATTCCAGGCAGTGGTTCCCAATCCTGTCCTGGTGTCCCACACACCTGATGGTTTGTGTTCCAGCTGAGCCCTCAAGTTACGCAAGCGAACCCCCTTCATTGACTTAGTAATAAGTTTAATGTGAACTGTTTGTTCCCTGTTTGTTCCAAACTCTTGAAGCTTTAAAAGTTGAATTTTGTAAGTGAAATAAAATCCTGAACTTGCGACAAAAAAACAAACTGCAAATATTAGAAGCAACTTCTTGGGTGGCGTAAGGCTTCAATTACCTAAGTAAGGTTTGTTGGAATGAAAAGCATCAGGTGTGTAGTTCACGTTGACCAGGATCGGGACCCACTGATTTAAGGAAAGCATTATAACTTCACTGTACAGTGTTCTAAACTAGTACTGGAGTAAAGATTCTAAATTTCAGGTCCTCCTGAAAGCAAAATTTAAAATGTCCATTTATGAAAACACACTTTCTAAAAAAAGTTTTTGATGTTTAAACAATGTTAAAGTCTAAGCACTATGTTACTGGAAGAGTGTGGTATGACTAACTTTTATTTTCTACATTTTGATATATGAAACCAATTAAACAAACAATGATTACGATGATGAACCAATTCTCAGGAAAAAAAAAAAACTTTTATCTCCCAGTATAAGTTCTGCAATGTGATCTGGTCTTACCTTTTTAAATTCCTGCTTAAGTCCCAGTTCTTGCAAAAATAGTCAGATCACTGACCTACTTAATTAATTGCTGAATTACACAAATTTGAATAGCTTATAATTTACTTCGGGTTCAT